TAGACAGAAACACCACGCACTGCCCTGCCTATAGTGACAAAAATATGCATGCCTGTGACTCCACTGCCCCTGAGGGAAGCAGGAGGGCCCATTCTACCAGGAGAGCAGCGGCCCCCTTCCTGGATCTCCTCCTTCCTCAGGCTCCAATGCCACCTGCCTTCTACAGACCTGCACTTCAGTGTGGGAGAACTTCTCTCCAGTTGCTCTTGGCCAGAGGGTAATGGAGATAGCCTCTTAGAGCTCTCCCTCTTTCTTCCCCTTTCTCTGCCCTCCTTTCCCACTCCACTTTAGACTTTTTGATTGTCAATCTCTGTCACATGGTTGTTTTTGATTTCTGTTCTCTTTCCAATTGCTCAAAGGGCTCAGGAACCCTACTTTCTCTATCCTCTCCGAGTAGGGTGGGGAGGTAGAAGTGACTGACATTGTGGGGAGAAGGCAGGAAGCACATCAATAAAGGGGAAAACCATATTATGTCTTTAGTTGATCATAACAATGAATTCACGGTCCGCAGCCCTAACTCATGCCTGATGGAAGCTTAACTAATACAAGTGCTTTCTCTGTAAGGTACTCCACAGTCTGGTCCAAAGCATCCTTGGGGCAAAACTCCACATAGAGCCATAGCAGTGATTCCTTCAAAGTAACTAGAGAGGAGTCAAGAGTTCCCTTAATATAATAAAGCCAAACAAGACTCCAGCTCTCTCCAGGGATCAAAGGGTGGACTCATCTATTGTCTTCAGTCTGGATAGAAAATTCCTATCTTGCCCCAGCATCAGAACAGAATTCTGATACTCTCACCCAAAATGGTATTGTGAAACAATAACCCTCCATCGGTCATACATCTGTCCATTTGAGGAGCCCTTCTGGGAGACATTTGAGGAGCCCTTTCTCTCATATGAAAGGTGTTTTGCAATATCTAGCATGGCCTTCCTTGCTTCCTGTTACAGAAAAGGGCCTAAAGCAAAAGCACATGGTCTTATTATATTGATTGGGAACTACATCATACTTTCTGCTATGACTGACAGGAATGGGGGGAATTGCTACTATTTGCCACAAAGAGCCAAGCCCTAGCCTGAAGACTCCATCTTGTTATTACAAAATTGTATGACATCATAGTTATTATGCCCAATACAGAGATGTGGAAACTGAATGCCCAAAGTCACAGTAAGTAGTGTTGCTAACAGTCAGTCTCAGACTTATCAAGCTACAAAACCCTGTTCTCAGTTGCTACACAGTAATACCACCACACAGACATCATCCTGACACACAGGACTGCCAGTAAGGAAGCCATGCTTACTAGCTMAGGGAACAATCAAAAGAAACTATTCTTACCTGAAAATAGACATTAAGTAAAAACAGAAAAGGTTGAATACCTTTCAGAAAATACATGCTGAAAATGGAAAAGAAGAGGAATATAAGATTAAATGTTGCAATGAGATTTCAAGGTAGGACGATGAACACCAGTGAATCAGTTTGATCCTCCCAAATACCACTGATCATTTCAGCACATTTATTTTCCAGTGGTGTTCAGGATGAACTAAAGGCACGGGCTGGGTAGAGCCAAGTCAGGAAGACTAGTTAGAAGGGCACTGCAATAACCCAAGCATGAGCTAATGAGAGTCATAGAGATTGGAAAAGAAGAAACAAATACTAGGGGTGGTCTGAAGATAAAATTCAAAATGCCTGCTGTGTAGAGATGAGGGAAGGAAAATATATAGGTTTCACTCTAAGAGTCAGCCTGTATAAAAGGAAGAAGGATAAGAAATTTTAACCAACTTTATAGACAATTCATAAATATCCATCTTCATCAGAAGGAAGTTGCTCCTCCTGACCTTCGTATGCATCCCTTGGAAATGCTGAGCTCCTTTATTCCTCTCATGAAATCACCTATTATTTATTTCAGGCAGCTTTCTCAAAAAAAGGGGGGGAGAGGGGACATACTATATAATGCTCTATATTCCTCCTCCCATCCACCTCTAGAATTCCCTATTCTTTAAGTCAACACTTTTATAGCACTGAATCGGTAAAATACTTACTAGGCTAATTTCCTCCAATATTAAATCTCATTAAAAAACATCAAAAGGATGTATATTCCACCCCTCTTGCTTTTGTCAGCATTACTTGAAATGTGTTAACTACAGGACAGTCTCAACAGACTTACACCTGCTATACACTATTTTCTTTTTTTTTTTTCTTGGTTCTTCTTAGTTATACATGACAGTAGAATCCATTCTAATTCTCACACAGTATTTTCTACTAGTAATATGTTTTAAGGTACCAAGCATTAATGGGTAGACTCCTTATCAACCTTAAGAATTCCTGAGTGACCTCTTATTACCTGAAAATAACCAGATACCAGAGTCGACAGACCCAGAGATTCTCCATAATTATCAAATATCTTTTTGTTTCCCTGTGCAACCTATCAAGAGATAGACAAAGTGGAGAGAAGCACCCCAGGTACGTCCAGGAAAGACACCCTGTGCCTTTCCACCATCAGCAATTACTGACCAACCTGCTTGACAAGACTATAAAAGAGGCATATCAAACTTGAGTTTGTCTTTCTAGAGATAATTTCCTACATTGGAGAAAACAGTACTAGAAAAAATGTAAACCCATCCTAAAAAGAGAAAAGAAATTAAAATTAATAATATTATGATGATAAGTTAGACTATATAGCACAAAAGAGACAGAAAATACTTGGACCCAATAAACACCCATTTATTAAATGCTTATTAAGTGCCAACCCCTGTGTTAAGTTCTATGGATATTAAAAAAGTAATTCATATATTTCACAAGTATTCGCATATATTCACAAGTAGGAATGCCTACTATATGCCAGCTGCTCTGTTATAAACTGGGTATGAACAAAAGAGAAAAAGAAGTTTCTGCCCTAAAGGATAAGGGTGATATAGGAGTACACATCAGAGACCCACACCCAAAATCATCTTTTTTGAAAAAAAGTCAGGTTTATTCATTTCCTAGGGCTGCCATACAAATTACTACAAACTGGTGGCTTAAAGCAACAGAAATATATTCTCTCACAGTTCCCTGAAGGCTAGAATTATAAAATCAATGTCAGCAGGGCCACATTGTTTGTGAAGGCTCCAGGGAAACCTTCCCTTGCCTCCTGCCACTCCTGGTGGCTCCCGGCAACCCTTGTAGATCCTTGGCTATAGTTGTATCACTCCTCTCTCTGCCACTAACTTGGTCTGTTCAGGCTGCTATAACAAAATCCTAGTCTAGGTTGCTTATAAACAACAGAAATTTATTGCTCACACTTCCAGAGGCTAGAAATCCAAGATCAAATAACTAGTAGGTTTGCTCTCTGGTAAGGGCTTGCACATGGTGATCCCAGTGAGCCTGCATTGAATCCAAGATTATTTTCATGCAGTTCACCTTGCCAGGTTTTCAACTTGCTTGAGACCCATAACATCTTTCTTCTTTCCTGTTTCTTCCTTTAGAACAGGATTATCTGTCTTATCTCCTTCCCAACATTATAGTTTGGAAGCCCAAAACTTGTTAGCTTCATACATGGGCAAGATTTTTGCACAGATTGAATTGCACCCAAGTCTCACCAGTATCTGATTCAGGTGATATTTAGATGAAACTTTGATTATTAGACTATTAGAGCTAATGCCAGAATCAGTTCATGTCTGGGGCTGTTGGGATAGAATAAAGGTATTTGGCACTTAACAATGACATGAATTTTGGAGGGCCAGGGATAGAATGCTATGAACTAAATATTTGTGTGCCCTCAAAATTCATCTGTGGAAACTCTAATCCCTGATGTGATGATAATTGAAGGTAGGGCCTTCAGGAGATAATTAAGACATGAAAGTATAGCGTGATGGAGAAGAGCCCCTCTAAGAGAGATGTTTCCTCTCTTCAGGAATGGAGTTCTCCTCAGGATCCAACCATGCCTTCCCTCTGTTCTCAGATTCCAGCCCCTCAGTCTCTAAAACTGTAAGAAATAAGCATCTATTGTTTAAGTCACCGGGCAATTTTCGTTATAGCTGTCTGAACTGACTGAATAGCTCTTTTTACTCTGTTGATTGTGTCCTTTGATGCACAAAAATGTTTTTAAATGTGATGTAGTGCCATCTGTCAGTTTTTGCTTTTGTCACCTATACTTTTGGTGTCAGAAATACACTATTTAAGGAAATGGAAATTATTTACACATTTAGAATTTAGATGACGAAGGAAAATGAAGGGACATTTTTCTTATTCTTTTTCTACGGACACAATAGTTTGAACGATTATAATCACGTTGTTAAGTTTGAGATGAGCAACTAGGAAGATCTATGCAGTGGCCCAGATACTTAAAATCAATTTAATCTGAAGTTAAATTTAAGGAAGTTAAAGACTTTGAAATAAATCATTGTGGCTTTTTCTTTTTTCTTTTTTTTTATTTTATAATTATATCATCAAAGTAGTAGCATTTGAATAAGATCACAGATGTTAAGAATACAGATGTAGACTTAACAATTGTTCAACTTACAATTTAATTTTTCTACAAATTTTTACTTTACATTGGCATAAAATTGATATGCATTCAGTAAAACTATATTTTGAATTTTGATTTTCTAACTAACAATATTCAGTGCCATATTTTCGAGTGATACTGGGCAGCTGTGGTGAGTCACAGCTCCCAGTTGGCCATGTGATCACGAAGGCAAATCTTCAGTGTGCTGTGTTTCTACACAGGATGTTCAGTGAGTTCCATGTATTAAACACATTTTAGACTTATAATATTTTCAACTTATATAGCTTATCTGGGTATAATCCCATGTAAGAAAAGGAGCATGTAAATAGCAATTGTAGATTTCATTCAAAATTCCTAACTTAACAGGAGAACTAACATTTTATAAAAGCACATAAGCTAAATAAGTAATAACAGAACTGCCTCACCTATCCAGCAAACTTATAAAAATGGAATTCAGAAATATATATAGTAATATAATAYATATATGATATATATATGTGATATATATATAATACCTCCATTAAAAATACTTTCAAGTAGTTTCCCAAGTTTTTTGATATCATTCTAATTCTATGAGTAAATACAGACTTGGTAACTATTAACAAATTGCCAACAGGCATAATGATCATCCAAACTCCCATGTGTTCAGGCTACTTCTTTTCTAATAATTTGGATTTCCAGAGAATATGAGATTTCTTGGAAGTTTAGTTTTTCCAAAGTTTTATTTAGATATTATCTTTGTAATCAGATAGACTAGGTTCCCATTCCTAGGTTCCCAGTCTCATTTCTTGTTAGCTGAATAAATTCACAAGAGTTTTAATTTCCCCAAATCCTAGTTTCTTCCCCTACAACATAAGGATAGTAATGCTCACAAAGAAAGATGGTGACCAAAGGTGAAATGTGAGCTAGATAGAGTAGTATGGGTATAGTCACTACTCGGTAAGGGAAGGGCACTATTAACATCTATGACTGAGATTTTATTAACTAACCTTTTGCCCTATTAATTTCATGACCTCTTTTTTAAATAGGTAAGTGTCAGGAGAAGAACCTATAATGTCAATGTGTGTCTTATGAAAATTAACCAGAACCCTAAGGTGTCTTGATTGTAGTTGTTCACATACCCGTTCAATATTTCTCTTCTCTCTATTTCCCTTTCCTTCCAAAATAAATGTCTCTTTCCTAAGCTCAGAGTGAAGAGCCTGGACCCATTCCTCAATGAGCTCCTTTACGTACCGCGCACTGTTTCGCCCAGAATCACCTTGAGCACTTGCTAGACAAATGGTGGTGACATCACCATCCACCCTCTCCTGACTTAGAATATTAAATTTGTTCAGTGTGATTTCATAAAACTCACACTTCCATTTCAGGTAAAGGAAAACATCTGTGTCCATCACAAGCATTTCTGGGCTTCTAACAGTTTCAGGTACTAAGGGCCTGAGCGTCTCCACCAAGTTATCACTTCTCTGTAGACTCTTTTCAGGGCTTTGTCTGTTCTGTTTTCTCCCTTCAGTCATAAAATTCCTGTTTTCTTCTAAAAGAGAACTTGCTTTTGATAGCAAAGACTCTTTGAGCTTCTTGATAGCCAGAAAGGGTCCTTCCACAGAGATTCTTCCTCCAGGTCCCAAGGGACTGAAGTTTAAAGTTGGGATTTTCTTTTTCAGGTCTATTACCAGGCTTTCCAGGATAATTTGACCACGAAAAACAGAAAGATCAAGGGTAGCTTTCACAGAGCTGAAGACCTACAATTAAAAAGAAAAATTAAAATAGCACTGCTTACTGAGGCAAAAAAAAAAAATAAAAAAAATAAACAAATTCATTTTTTTAACCAACTTCTTATCGTACAGTCACTTTAAATCAGACTCTAATGGCCAAACCCAGACTTCCTGGCTTCTCACACCCAGGCAGCCCATCCGTGGTACCCAGGCTGTTCAGTTTGAGATTCACAGTCCCTTGTTACATACCCTAAAACAGAGGCAGTCACATCATTTTTAGAAGCAAATTGCTATTTTGAAACAAAGTCTCAAGCAACACATAGGTATAAACTGTTCTAGTTCTGCTCCAGAAGTCCCTCTAGAGTCATCCCCACCCTTCCCTTCCAGTTTGAAGTTCATCACATGGTTACAGAGAATGCCAGGTTTCTTGCAGAATATGGTTTATAAACCAACACTTCAAATATTTCATTTTTCCTCTTATTTCTACCCTTCCTGCCCTTTCAAAACTCCCTTTTAGTGTGCATCTTAATTTTTTATCCAAAATAAATCTCTAGGTAGGTACCTGATGTTATCTATAACAACCCAAAAGCTCACTGTCACTTTAAAAGCATTAAGTAGGAACAGAGAAATATAAAAGCAAAAACTTCAAGAAGCAGGTTTGGTCTTTTGTACTGACATGACTCAGGTTAGAGAGTTGAATCCATGAGGTGAGAGCACTGTGTGTTTCTTTACACAGGAAAGACTTCACAGGACAAAGGGGACCCAGAACTCCCCGCACACCCTCAGCTCACACCTTACCTTTTCACTAAAGTGAGAGACTGTGAGTTGAGCATGTACCATCTTCTGAATTGCTAGATGGTGTTTCTTTTGTCTGACAACATTCTCTGCAACTAAGTGGAAACATTAACATCAAAAGTGGTTGTGGCATAACACTAATAATTACTTTAACTCCTAAAAATAGAGAAATTTGATTCTGTTATTTAGAAAGTCTGAGTTTTTCCTATATTTTTCCTCTAAATACAACATTCAAATAACTTTTTCCTTGCATTTTCACATATTAAAGTTAATTTCATGTATTAATATATTCTTAATCATATTTCTTTGAAAACACACATAGGCCAGGCACAGCAACTCAGGAGGCTGAGGAAGTTCGAGGCCAACCTCAGCAACTTAGCAAAGCCCTAAGCAACTTAGCAAGACCCTGTCTCAAAATAAAAAATAAAAAAGGCTGGAGAAGTAGCTCAGTGGTAAAGCAGGGTTAAATTCCCAATTAACCCCAGGGTTAAACTCCCAATGCCAAAACACACACACACACACACACACACACACACACACACACAGTACATACATGAATAGAAAACAGAAACCCAAGAGTAAATCCCCCACTCTGCTAATACTGGTCACATAAACTCTCATGTCTGTGAATCCAGGGTTCCACACTGTCCTGGTTTTCCTCCTAATTCACTGGCTCCTTTGCTAATTCTCCATCTATTCCCACTCTCTAGATGTTAGAAAGCCCCAGACCTCAGTCCTCAAACTTCTTTGCTAACCTATGTCTACCTCCTAGTCAATTCAACACTTCCCACAGCTTTAGACACCAACCCTATATGCATTGCTTCCAAAATTTTCTCTCTGCTCCATTATCTTAATAGGTGCTTCAATGACCCAAAATCAACTTGATATTTATCCCCCTCCTGAACATACTCCATTCAATCTTCCCAACTCAAAAATTCACAAATACCCACGAGTGCCCATCAGCTGCCCTACTGCACCTCTCCAAGGCAGCAATGACTAGTATCTCCTGTTCCTCAGCAACCGATTTGACCATCTGAGTAAAGGTGTCAATCCTCTGCTCGGAACTGAATCCTCTACCAGAATAAAATCTAAACACCTTGCCTTGACCCATAGCTGCTTAGCAAAAACTGGCCCCAGCTCCCAGTCTAACCACATCTATTGTACACACACACACACACAGCCCAACCTCATAAAACTCCAGCCACACAGCCCTCCTTGGTGTTCCTCTAAACATCCAGCATGTTTCCCCTGTGGAATTTCTACCTGTCCTTCACCTAGTCTGAAATATTTTTCCCATTTATCTGCATGATTCATTCTCTTACTTCATTCAGGTACCTGCTCAAATGTCACCTAAACATATGACATCAGGGCTATGGATACAGCTCAGCAGTAGAGCACTTACCTAGCATGTACAAGGCCTTGGGTTTGATTCCCAGCACCACCAAATTATATATTCTTTTTAAAAGTGTTTTCCTAGCCACTGTATTTGAATAGCACCATCCATCATGTTTTCTTTCTCTTCTCCCGTAGACTTTTTCATAGCAAGTTAGTGTCCTCTGCAGACCCAACTGTATCTATCCCCTATGTCAGGGATGGGGCTAGGGAACAGGATGGCTCCATCTTATCTCAGCTCCAAACTGTATTTCTCAATTCAATTTGGCAAGTAATAAAGCAGATACTATGTTAGAATATCCATATGATAGTTTGAACACAGAACAGCAGAGGGTATAATTGTATTGTTGAAGCCACCTTAAAGTCCCAAAGTAGTTATCTTGTTTGTGGAATTATATATCATTTAAGCAGGGGGATTTTCTACATTTTTCTGCATTTTGCAAGTTTTCTATAAAACTTTTATCCCAAGATACATTTAAAGTATAGGAGAAAAGAAGTTTTCAAAAATTTGCCAGTTACTAAGAGTTTTCAAAAATTTACCAGTTGCTTTTTATCATGAGTCATTTTCATACATTTCTGCTCATATAATGTTGGCCAGTTTCAGAATAGAATAATTTTAAATCTACTTCAAATGTTATTAATTCCATGAGTCATTTCAACAAAATCTAATTTTAATTTTACTAAGTATTTCTCAAATTATAAAACTTTGATTTGGAAATACCTTTCTTTTCTTTGAATATTACATATGCAACTCCTTTGGTTCTTGTTGGATATATCACATCTTCAATATCTCCACCCTCATTTTTAATGTCTCGGAAGTAACTCTCCACTAATGTAGTCAGCAACTGATCACTCAAAAGGCCAACAGGAAGACCAGCAACGACAATGGTTCTTTCAGGAGCTCTCGATTTCTTGACATTCGAAACTGATGCCTGTAAGAGAAAAAGTAGAATACTATTTAAAAATATAAGCTCTACTTAATGAAGAGTGGGATCACATAAAGTTTTAAAAAAAAAGTGGGAGGAAGGAGGGAAGGCAAAGGAAAGAACTGGTGCATAGAGTTGACCAAATTATGCCATGTGCATGCATGACTGTATCACAATGCATTCCAACTTATATATAATGGTAATGCATCAAATAAAAAATAAATACATACAAGGAAGACCAATAGAGTAGAGGAAGAAGATGATAGTGCTGGGGATTGAGATGGAGAAAACTATGCTCTAAGCACTTATGAATATGTCAAAAGGAGCCCCACTATTATGTATGACTACAATGCACTAAAAATTTCTAAATTAAAAAGTTTTTAGCCAGGTGTGGTGGACCACACCTGTAATCCCAGCAACTTGGGAGGTTAAGGCAGGAGCATTGTGAGTTTAAAGCCAGCCTCATCAACTTAGTGAGGGCCTGAGCAACATAGCGAGACCTTGTCGGAAAATAAAACAGGAAAAGGGCTGAGGATGTGGCTTAGTGGTAAAGCACCCCTGGGTTCAATCCCTGGTACAAGGGGCAAAAAAAAAAAAGGTTTTAAAAAATAAAAAGAATTTTTAAAAAGCCAAAAGGAAGACCAGCGACTACAATAGTTCTTTCAGAATATTTGTATTTCTTAAAAGTCAAAACTAATGCTTATAAGAGAAACAGTTATATTATGAATATATTTTAAAATATACTTAGGGAAAGTACCATCACATAAAATAGAAGACAATATCTTACTCAATAAAGGCAACAGTGTAACTAGTAGATACTTTTTAAAAAGGGAATAGATCTTTGCTTTATAACCATCTACTAACATAAATTATAGCCAAATTTGAAAGTTAAATGTAAAAATGATCCCTTTATTTTTTTTAATAAGTGGAAATGTTGATTAATTGTTCATTTTAGGAAAGCCTAAAAATAATTTAAAAAGGAAATATAAATTTCAAAAATTAAAATGTAAAATAAGATAATCAAATAGTCACAAAATACAGTAATGTGGAAGTGACTGTATTTTTTATGGATTGTAGATTCCAAAGTAAATAAGCTAGTAAAAAATACATCCCTTTTATTATCAGAATCAGGGGGAAATTACCATTAAAAAAACAAAACCCCAGGAGTAACATGGATTCTGTGGTGGAGTAAATCCCACCTTGCAGAGGTATCTGAAATTAAATCCAGCCTTAAAAAGAGTGCATGCTATTGTAGCCACAGGGCTGGGCACAGAGTACCAACTGTGCTGGGTTCACTCTCTTTGAACTTCTTGAATTATCCACATAATGCCCTCATTTGCTCCCCAATCCCATTTAGGGAAGTGGATTTGTGAACTTCTCCCAGTGCTTACACAGTTAGTCCAGCCTGTGCAACAAAAGAATTACCTGAGGGTGGACAGGATGGCCCAAGGGCCTGAACCATGGTGAACAGACCACTCAGGAGCTCAGGACTCTCAGTCCACAGGACTCTGTACTTACAATCCGATTCCACAGGGATTGGCAAACTACTTCTGTCCTCCCCAGAGGTAAGAAAAGAGCTTAAGCACACAAAGAGTGTCCTGTCCATCCCAAGAACTCCTTAAGATGAAAATAAAAGAATAAACTCAGTTACAATGAAACAATCAGTGTCGGAGATTTCAATAAATTTCTGAAAGACTGAAAAAACACAGAAGTATATGGAAGATTATGACAGAGAGCAGAAGCTAACCTGGAATAAGCAAATGGATGTTGCAGGGCCAATGGTGACAACAGGCACAGCAGAATCTCAGAAATGATAAAAGGTACCCATACAAGATGTTGTTGAAAGGCTATTGGTTAAAAAAAAAGAAAAACTGCTCCAGTGTCTCCCATGTTACTAGCTCCTAACCTTTCTACACAGAACACACTCTGACAAAGGCAGCTGGTGCAGAACATGGTAGGAAATAGAATTATTTTACTGAAGAAGAAGGAAAAGAGTAAGAGCAAGGGGAAGAGGGGGGCAAGGGGGGATAGGAGGGAGAGGGGGAAGGGAGAGGGGGATGGGAAGGGGGGAACTAAATGAACACTCTAGAGAAAACTTGACCAGCCAGTGTGGACAAGTCCTCCTCCTGTTTCTGGCATTTAAAGAAGCCCCAGCCTAACAATCATAAACAAACTACAGTGTGGCAAGATTTTGAGTAAATTATAGCATACAAAAAGAAAAAGGGAAATCCATTTCACCCGGCCGCTAGAAACATTTTCCTATACATAGAAAATGAAAAATACACATGATATTGGACCAAAAAGAGAAAAAGTAATCACAGCATGCAATGAAGCCCCACTATAAACAGCATTTGCTATTTACAATGCAGTATTATTGGTTTTTAACTTTTCAACTGAACTTGCTGTCTTCAAAATATCAAAGACTTAAATAATGGTTACAGAATAAAATGAAAATACACAACTCTGTCAATGCAGAGGTAACAGCAGTTGAGAAAAAAATTTTTAAAAATCTCCTACATTGAATCATGTAATAGTACTCCCATTTTAAGTCCTTTACAGAAGTTATAAAAATAATCCATAGAAGAAGAAAAAGAAGAATAAAAAATAATATTACATTACTTTCAGACTTAAAAGGCAAAGAAAGAAGTCAGAAGTTACCTGAATGAGATCCTTATTTATCATAGTAGGATTTGACAGAATCCTACTATGATTAAGTCAATGATTAAGTCAATGTTGACTGCCCCAGCATATGTACCCGGGGCATCTCTGGTATTCAGCTGGCAGCTTGTGAAATAAAGTAGCAAAATGTACCTGTCTGATGAAGTGAATTTTAATTCACTTTAAATCAGGTGCATCTGAATGCACCTGAATTTTTTAGAATATATACTATTTTGTCAATTAGTTAATCAGTTAGCAAATACTGTATTATTAAATATGTGCTCCATGCCTGGCAATATGCTGAGTTTCAGAAATAATGATACATAGAAAGAAATAAAATTTGTCCCTTGTCCTGAAATTCAGTTCCCCCACAAGAATGTAAATCGTTATGTGTGGGGCACTTAGATAGGCTTTAGGATTAATATAAAAAACTGTGGAGGTGGGAAGGGTCTATACATGAAAGAGGAGGCAGACACATAAATAAATCTTTTCAAAAGAGCTTGGTATTCATGAAAGAAGTAGATCTATTTATTGCTTTAAGGAGGAAGCAGTCCAACACACTATTTTAGAAGGACACAGACCATCCACAATAAAATCCTAAAATTACAATAAATGCCATCCAAAATTAGAAAGCAAGATTAATTAATTCTGGCTAACCGAGTCTGAAAAAGGCTCCACAAAAGAGAGGTCTTTAAGGCTGAGGTCAAATTTGAATTGATGAGACAAAGATACCAAGAAAAAGCTGCGCAAGGGGGGAGGCATGAAACTGGCTCATGTTGATACATATATAGAACAAAGGGAATGTCTCCAGAAAATAAAATGAGAAAAACTCTACTGGCTATTTGTTTTAGGAGATACTTTTATGGATGAAAATCATTTATCTAGATTGTACAATGAAACAGCAAAAATATACCAGATGGTAAGTGTGCCTATAGGCAACCTATTCCCAAGTGGTACAATGCAATTTCCCCAAGACAATTCTCCCTTACAAGAGAGACAGAGAAAAAAAAAATGACTGAATAGATTTTTTTAGATTTTTCAGAAAACTCTATTTCTTGAGATTTGTAATGATGACATCCTGCTCTAACAACCCCCACCAGCCTCAGTGTGTCAGTGGATAGAGAATTAATTTCTTTTTTGCTCTGCATCAATGTCAAAGAAAATTTATCAATCACTTTAAATTCAAAAAATCACTCTACCTCTATGCCCTCATCAATACTAATACCATATTTCTTCATCCAAATGTCTGTACATAATTTAATCAAAAGAACTTTCTGAGCTGGTATTTTTAGGAGAGAAAAACAAAAGAGTTTTGTTTTCTAACAATTTAATTTTTTTTTTATAAATTATCTTGTGATTTATTTCAATGACCTGCCAGGATTCTTCCTTAACTTTCTTTCATATGTCTGAGAAAGTATTGCTAACATATATAATTCTGCTGAGGACAGTTATGAACAATGAGAATAACTAATCTCTTCTATCCACGATTAGAGAGGAAAAAAAAATAACCTGGAGAAAGAAATTCCTCCCAAGGATTTTGAAACAAGAACAGCATTGAAATCAAGAGACATTAAGGTGATGGCACTTTTTCCCATATCAACGTTATCTTTTAAGAAACTTTTGGCCGTCAGGATCCAAAAAGGTATAAAGACAATCTATTTTTTTAAAAAAAGCAAGGGACTAGGAAATAATTGGAAGATTCATTCGCTACATTTACTTAGATTTCTTTTCTCAAAATCAGTTATTTATTTTCAATGATTATACCTTTACTCTCACCAGGTAAACAAAAGCACATTTGCATCTCACAACTGCTTTTACATTACCAGGACTCAGGGATTTCAGATCAGAAAGCTCTGCCACAGTTTCAAATGCTTGTTAGAGAAACACACACACACACACACACACACACACACACACACACACACACACAAACTCAGTCTTGAATTTGCTGTCTGTTGCTCCTAGCCAGCACAGATGGTGAAAACACTGAGCCCTTTGTGTCTCTGGATAAAGAACTAAGACCACAAAACCACAAAATCTCCTGATTCGCACCAGGAGAGACTTCAGGATGCCTCCCTAACTTGTGTCCTTGGTTGAATCCGTTCTTAACTAGCTCTTTTCCAAAAGAAGCTGTAACCTTCATTTCTGGGTAATCTGTCCACTTTTGCTCGCCCCCAACCCCCACCCCGGAATCGTGGGAGGACAACAGTTTGATCCCTACAGCGTGCAAAGCAACTCCTCCACGAAACTGCGGTGCGGGGCAGTGGGCGCAGGAGGTCGCAGTCCGAGCCTGGGCCCTTCCTCTCGCAGCCCGAGGTTAATTCCAGTAACGCGCAGCGTCGCAGCAGGGGCAGGTGCAGAGATCGCGCCTGGGGTTGACCGGCGGCGGGGATTGGTGGCTCTTGGCAGCCCCAGGGCCTCCAGACCGTCGCCTCGCTCAGCCCCGCACCCTGGACCTGCCCAAGGGATTCTGCGCCCATTTGGGGGACCTAGGCGACGGCATGGGCACTCCCCTGCACCACAAAACCCAAAGAAAAATGACTTGCCATGGTGGAGGAGAGACGCGCCCTTGGCGGCCGCGAGGAAGCCCCAAACCCAGCGGAGCGCGGGCGGTGCAGAGGGCCCGGCAAGCTGGTTTTGGTTTCGTTTTTTTGTTCCCGCTCACTTGGAGACAATACAAGGAAAGGGCGGCCTTTCCATCCCACATGGCTGTTCTGTAGCGGGTGGCCTCTAGGTGGGAGCCTGGACTTGGAAGGGCCGCTGGCACCAGACCAGACATCCTCCGTAGTTTTGCAACTTTTGAAAGCACGCTTTCAAAGACAGGCCCGGAGATTCCCTGGCAGAAATTTAGGGATTCTCCCGGTAATACGTCAGTCCTGCGCTCAATGGACTCTGGATGCTCCTTCCTGAACCCTCAGTATTCCCCCTATAGTATTCCTGGGTGGTCTCTTCTCCCAGATTGGGGCCCCTGACGAAGACACAGGATGAAAAGCATAGTCCCTGCCAATAGGGAGCTGACCACCTATATGCAAATGTAAAAAGCCAACATAAATGCTGTCTATGTTTTAAACTTTGCTGTAGAATTGGACTCAGGAAGTGCTGGATTTCTGAGTCTGGCTCTTGGGGCAAAGGGAATCCACATAGGTAACAAGTTCAAAGTAAAATTAAAGAGAACACGAAAAAGGCAAACGGATGGCCAATGTGAAGATGCTTGGTCTTATCCATAATAAAGACATACACATTGAAATCACAACGCGATGCCATTTTTCCCAGCGATAGCCGGTCTGTAAAGAACATCAATGTTGTTGCAAGTCATGAGAACATTTTGAAGGATTTTGACCCCTATGGAGGGATCTCAGAACACAGCACTCCAACATGGCTCAGTATGCTGAGTACTTTAAATGAAGGACTTGGGTCAAAAGAGTCTCTTCCTGGGCCCTCCTGTATCCCTCCCCTTTTCTGCCCTTAGCCAATCAAAGAAACCGGAATTTCTCTTCTTCCAGGTGGGTGAAGGAAACTAGAATCCCCCTTCCAATAAACAAGCCATAGAACCTAGAAAGGTCACTCTACGCCTTCTCCCTGTTCCTTTGAGACCCTCGTTCTAGAAAAGTCCTCCCCTATACACAGGACGAAGGAATGCTACTCAGGGAAGCCAAGAAGAATCTGAACCGGCCTTGCTGGGCCCCTGGTATTGGGCCAGTCTGTTATCATTAGATAATACCTTTGATGCAGTCACGTTTCTGCACAGCTGTCCATCAACATAAGCATAAAAAGAGTTTTCTCTGGGTCTTCAATTCCGAATGCTCCTGTCACATAAAACTTTGATTAAATAGATTATGCTTTTTCTCTTGATAACCTTGTTGTTGTTGTTGTTGTTGTAGAAGTGTGACCTTTATGATGGCTTAGGAAAATGTAACACCTTCTCAATTCTACACTATGAACACGTAAAATGCAAGAAATAAAATGCACATATCCTTAGACTTAGCGATTCATTTTTAGTAGTAAACCTGAAGTGAAAGTAGCAAGTGATACTAAGATGTTGTTTAAAATTTTTAATTGTATGTCTCTTGTTACACAGGTAATAATAATTTCTTTTAAAAAACGGATCCACTCAGTGAATGGAGCTCTCTATTGTACATATGATGGTATCTCTACAAGACATGAGGCTATGAAGATTTTAAAACAGAATGAGGTAGATTTACACAAAATTTATAGTTTATCTCCATATTCATATATTCAGGTACCCATTTGAATGCCTAATAAGAATCTAAAATTTTAATGATATAAAATGAAAAGCTGACAACACATGTAATAGTTAATGTGTCAATTTGACTGGGCTAGAGAATGCCCAGTAAAATGTTATTTCTAGATATATCTGTGAATGTTTCTAGGAGAGAATGGCAATTGAATTGGAAAACTGAAGTAAAAAGGATCCACCCTCACGAATATGGATAGGCACCATCCAATCTGTTGAACATAAAGGTAGAAGATGGGTAAATACATTCTTCCTTTTGGAGCAGGAACATCCCTCCCCTGCTCTCAGACACTAGCAGTTGTGATTCTTGGGCCTTCAGACTCAGACTGGAATTACAGGACTAGCTTTTCCAGGACTCCAGCTTGCAAGTAGATCATGCAACTTATCTTCATGAGCCAGTCCCTCATAAGAAATCTCTTTCTAAATATCTATGTATTTCCTAATGGTTCTGTTCCTCTGAAGAACCCTAATACATATGGTCAAATAATTTTCAATAAGAGTATCAAGACCATTCAATGGGTGAAAGACGGTCTGAAGAAACTGGGAGTATTGAAAATCTTAAAATCTTTGGTGCCAGAACTTAAATCTTTTTTTTTCCTTTTTTTTATTGTTTGTTCAAAACATTCAGAACTTAAATCTTAAAATCTATAATGGCACACACTTGTGATCCCAGAGATTCGGGAGACTGAGGCAAGAAGATCACAAGTTCAAAGCCAGCCTCAGCAACCAGCAAGACCCTGTCTCAAAAAAAAAAAAAAAAAAATATATATATATATATATATATATAACTAAAAGGACAGGGTGTATAGCTCAGTAATAAAGCACTCTTGAGTTCAATCCAGGTGGGTAGGGGGAGAGGGGATAAATATAAACTTTGGCTCCAAATATTGATTCAGGAAGTGCACTGAGGGTTTCAGACTCCAGAAGAATACATTTCGAACACCCTTTCTAGAATTGGCCAAGAAGAATATTTGGAAAAAAAAAAGAAGAATGTCCAGGAAATATTAAGACAATCAGCAAGAAAAGAATTTCCAGGGAATGAAATCAGGGCCTAAATCAAAATTCAACACATTACAGGTATGGTGCACACATCTACTCAATGAGATTTCAGAATTGCTTTGGCTTAGTGTCTCTCACNGTTCTCGGCGGACACAACATCTTTGTTGGTATGTGGTGCTGAGGATCGAACCCGGGCCGCACGCATGCCAGACGAGCGCGCTACAGCCTGAGCCACATTCCCAGCCCAATATATATTCTTTTTAAAAGTGTTTTCCTAGCCACTGTATTTGAATAGCACCATCCATCATGTTTTCTTTCTCTTCTCCCGTAGACTTTTTCATAGCAAGTTAGTGTCCTCTGCAGACCCAACTGTATCTATCCCCTATGTCAGGGATGGGGCTAGGGAACAGGATGGCTCCATCTTATCTCAGCTCCAAACTGTATTTCTCAATTCAATTTGGCAAGTAATAAAGCAGATACTATGTTAGAATATCCATATGATAGTTTGAACACAGAACAGCAGAGGGTATAATTGTATTGTTGAAGCCACCTTAAAGTCCCAAAGTAGTTATCTTGTTTGTGGAATTATATATCATTTAAGCAGGGGGATTTTCTACATTTTTCTGCATTTTGCAAGTTTTCTATAAAACTTTTATCCCAAGATACATTTAAAGTATAGGAGAAAAGAAGTTTTCAAAAATTTGCCAGTTACTAAGAGTTTTCAAAAATTTACCAGTTGCTTTTTATCATGAGTCATTTTCATACATTTCTGCTCATATAATGTTGGCCAGTTTCAGAATAGAATAATTTTAAATCTACTTCAAATGTTATTAATTCCATGAGTCATTTCAACAAAATCTAATTTTAATTTTACTAAGTATTTCTCAAATTATAAAACTTTGATTTGGAAATACCTTTCTTTTCTTTGAATATTACATATGCAACTCCTTTGGTTCTTGTTGGATATATCACATCTTCAATATCTCCACCCTCATTTTTAATGTCTCGGAAGTAACTCTCCACTAATGTAGTCAGCAACTGATCACTCAAAAGGCCAACAGGAAGACCAGCAACGACAATGGTTCTTTCAGGAGCTCTCGATTTCTTGACATTCGAAACTGATGCCTGTAAGAGAAAAAGTAGAATACTATTTAAAAATATAAGCTCTACTTAATGAAGAGTGGGATCACATAAAGTTTTAAAAAAAAAGTGGGAGGAAGGAGGGAAGGCAAAGGAAAGAACTGGTGCATAGAGTTGACCAAATTATGCCATGTGCATGCATGACTGTATCACAATGCATTCCAACTTATATATAATGGTAATGCATCAAATAAAAAATAAATACATACAAGGAAGACCAATAGAGTAGAGGAAGAAGATGATAGTGCTGGGGATTGAGATGGAGAAAACTATGCTCTAAGCACTTATGAATATGTCAAAAGGAGCCCCACTATTATGTATGACTACAATGCACTAAAAATTTCTAAATTAAAAAGTTTTTAGCCAGGTGTGGTGGACCACACCTGTAATCCCAGCAACTTGGGAGGTTAAGGCAGGAGCATTGTGAGTTTAAAGCCAGCCTCATCAACTTAGTGAGGGCCTGAGCAACATAGCGAGACCTTGTCGGAAAATAAAACAGGAAAAGGGCTGAGGATGTGGCTTAGTGGTAAAGCACCCCTGGGTTCAATCCCTGGTACAAGGGGCAAAAAAAAAAAAGGTTTTAAAAAATAAAAAGAATTTTTAAAAAGCCAAAAGGAAGACCAGCGACTACAATAGTTCTTTCAGAATATTTGTATTTCTTAAAAGTCAAAACTAATGCTTATAAGAGAAACAGTTATATTATGAATATATTTTAAAATATACTTAGGGAAAGTACCATCACATAAAATAGAAGACAATATCTTACTCAATAAAGGCAACAGTGTAACTAGTAGATACTTTTTAAAAAGGGAATAGATCTTTGCTTTATAACCATCTACTAACATAAATTATAGCCAAATTTGAAAGTTAAATGTAAAAATGATCCCTTTATTTTTTTTAATAAGTGGAAATGTTGATTAATTGTTCATTTTAGGAAAGCCTAAAAATAATTTAAAAAGGAAATATAAATTTCAAAAATTAAAATGTAAAATAAGATAATCAAATAGTCACAAAATACAGTAATGTGGAAGTGACTGTATTTTTTATGGATTGTAGATTCCAAAGTAAATAAGCTAGTAAAAAATACATCCCTTTTATTATCAGAATCAGGGGGAAATTACCATTAAAAAAACAAAACCCCAGGAGTAACATGGATTCTGTGGTGGAGTAAATCCCACCTTGCAGAGGTATCTGAAATTAAATCCAGCCTTAAAAAGAGTGCATGCTATTGTAGCCACAGGGCTGGGCACAGA